TAGACATTTTCAATAATGCTTGTTCAAACTGGCACAGGTGGTGCTATTATTCAGTGACATATTCACTAAACGCCTTGGTTAATTTAATATGGGGTGGGGGGGGGGGTGAATATGCTGCTCTCACCCCCTTATATTTATCCCTTTGTAATATGTATAACTTTGGGACTTGGGGGTATTTTTCTGATCTCAAAAGCCACAAGAATTCCGGTAGCTTAGATTTGTGTAATAAAATGTATAAAGCAACCTGCAATTATCATGCTCTGATATTGCAACTGTCATAAAATGATAGATTGAAAATCAAACACAGACAAAGAAATTGATTAAAGATATGTGCTACAGGCAGCATCAATATGTAATAAAATCAAATTATATGTATTGAAAGTTATAAAATAAAAGCACAATCTCTGGTTAAATTACCACAATTTATCTCAATTGACCACAATGACTATTGAATATGTACCTGCTGGTAAATGATGACCATACTGTAAAGATAGATTATTAGGAGCCAAAATGCAGCAATTTATTCCAACATTTATTCCAACCATTTCAATAACATTTGAAAAGGAATTTCCTTTAAATATACTGAACAAGAAATAAGATGATATGAGGTGGTCAGTTAACAGAGTGGTCTTTCAATATGAACTGTGTTTTTAATAATCAAAGAGTGTTGTTATGTATGTTCTGTTTATGTTATGGAATATCTATAACAAGTTTGTTAACAATATTGATCATGAAATAAGGTTTTCTTTCTGAGTAAATGGGAAAGTATATGATTTTAATAGATCATGTGCAAATAAAAGTGGTCATTTTGTGGTTTCTTTTTAACATAAGTGGTCAGTACACATATTGGTAATTTGGTATGCATATATAACGGTATGCAAATAATTATAATGGTATGCTAATTGGGCAGGCCTGTAATGCTAATTGGACCACATGATTAATGCATTCTAAGGTCCTGGCACAGCTCAGCAAACTATTCCCAAGAAAAAAACATCTTCATGGTGTAATTTTCATTACATGATCTACTTAATGACTGGCGTACAGTCTGGTCCGGCACATGTTCAACGGGTCTGTTTTAAATGATTTAATGCCCTTAACTGTGTTTTTCAAATTAACTTGATAGAATTTTTATGGAAATATGACATAATTTCGGTATTATCTGAATTTCATTATTTATCTATAGAATATAATCATTCAGTTGTAATGGCGGAGCAATATAAAAGCAATTTTACTGTGCCATTAATGTGAGTTTTATACAAAGTGTCTCCAGAGACAAAAAAAAATGTGATGAATTGCATCATTTCTCTCATCATGGGATACAAATTGCTTTCAACTGTGCAGAAGTTTCCGGAAGTGTTTATTTACATAAGAAACCCACTTACTGACAATTAAACTGTCATTTTCATTTGATAAAATTGTCAAGTCATAAATTTTCATGAACAAATTCTGATGCACAGTTGCTATCATTCTTTTTTTGTGATCCAATGTAAAATTGCCAAAATATTTACTGCAATACCCATGTGATACACTCAGCCTTTAGAAGTTAACACCCACTGAATATCTGCTTCAGTTACACAAATTTTGAACTACCCTGACCAGCTCAACCCTGTAAGTGCCTACTGATTGCCAAAATATCTGCCCATGTGACCAGTGCAGATCCAGATCAACTGTACCAACTGATTTTGGTCTGCACTGTTCGCTCCCAAAATTATTACTGCACTTTAATGTTGTGATTTGAAATTTGTTTTCTTAATCTAAGACTAAGACAATTTCCAATAATTATAACACAACGCTCAACTTAAAACACCATTGGTGCACCAAAATATGTTGCTAAGGTTTACTTCTGATTACCAGATATTTTAAAAGAAGCTGCCAGTTACTACTCAATACAAGTCTTAATAGATGAAACAAAAAATATTTTTTATGTATAATGAAGCTTTTTTTATAAAGAAAGAAGTGATTTTGTTTAGCAAAATGGGTAAAAGAATTTGCACTTTACTCTCTCAAAATATATTCAAATGACCTAAGAAAATAAATACTCACACTGTACGTACTTCTGGTCAAACTACATATGTGCAGATTCATTTGAGGTTAAGGGCAGGGGGGGGGGAGGTAAGGTGGGGGTTGAGGCGGAAAAGACAGTTGTATGGAATTCTAGCTTGTCCCATGCCTGCATAATGTTCAATACGTCTAAAGGTTTACTATTTGTTCCAATGTGGCTATATCTACAGGTTTGACTGTAGACTATCAAGCAAATTACCAATATTCTGTGATCTGAATGACCTTATCAAGTACATCAACTTAATCATTCAGAACAAAATCCTTCTAACTGCTAAGTACATTTCATATGTCTCTAGACCTCTGCAAGACACCATTTTCTGAAACAAATTGTCCATTACATTAGTAGTGTAACAAGTTGAACAAATTCTGAGAGGGCCGCTTGATTGGAAAATATCAACAAATGTAATCAAATCTCCAACCATCCTCCCAACAATCAAATCACACTCTTTAACCCTTCCTATAACATCAATATAAAGATCTTTTGCTGGCCTGACTTCTCTTCCCTGGAAAATTTCAGTGTTTGATATTTCTATGATAATCGCTCCATTAGATATAAATATTTGCACGAAAAGCTCCATTTAACATACTGAACTTGTTTGATTGAAAAAGGAAATAGTCTGGGGTTTTTTTCTTCTGAAATACGTGCATTCTTTGGTGTTCCTGTTTTTTTATCAAAAACATAATATTTTTGAAAAGAAAAAAAAATTTGAATTAGATGATGTAAATATTTTGCAAGCTTTTTACTAGAACAGTATTTTTTGTAAGTTTTTTTTCTTCTCGTATCTACAATAAAAACAGATGTCTTGAGGTGGTATTTACATCTTAAATTATCATTCACAATTTAATCACATCTTAGCTTTAAAATAAAATAAAATGTAAAATTTGTGTAATGCATTACATATGAAAAACTGTATGTAAAAAAATAACGAGGAATGGCCAAACTGCTTAAAATCAACATTTCAGACAAGAGGTTATTATGAATCAGGAAATGGTTGAACTTAATTGAATAACTTGACTGTTTCTCCCCCCAACCTTAAATACCCTCCCACATTTCCATTTGGGACTTTGCTAAATGCATGCTTGAGCTTATATTTTAACGAAAGTGCAACAATAAATGGATAATTTATTAAATAAATGCATTTGTACTTAAACATAAGCTTGCTTAGGAGTGCATTTGATATACATTTAACAAGGGACCAAACTGTGGGAGCAAATGTCCATCTTAAAATTTCCACATGAGAGTGGGGGAGTGGGGGGGGGTGGGGGTGGGGAGCCTGGCAAATGTCCAGCGATTCACTTTTCAATTCTAGAGTGAAAGCCATAAATATCCTGAGGGAAATATTTCTGTTACTAAATATACCCAAATATCATTTTACTAAATATGCTCCTTTCTACTACTTTGTTCCAACTACTACAAATTAAACCTTCTAGCAAATAAGGATATATTTTCACACTGATGATAATGTTTGCTTAATATCTTCAAATTCATGTTATCTTAATCTAGCACATGTGGAGAAAATGTCAAACATAAAATTTAGATAATAATCTGCAGTTAAAATGATACATCAGTCACTGTAAATAGGATTAGTATAATGTTAATCATCACTTTATACCAACAACTGGTAGCTATGCTGTCAGTTAATCCTCACTTGATTCTAGGATACCAGTGTCTAATCCTCGAGCCCCTTCAAGTCCATGATCACATGTGCACACTTCAGATGTGACATTTAATTTTACAATGAGATGCACTGAAAAAAACCAAGGTAGTCTGACCTTACACATACTATACTGCAGGCAACTCACTTTAAATTTTAGGGCCTTAATACTAAAATCTGAACAGTTTTAAATTCAAAGGACAATTCAATGAAATAAATTTTGCAGAGAATGTGTTAAGTCCAAGTTCCATGTTATTTCTGTCAATTCAAGGTAGTTCTTTTTTAACACTTCACATGAGTCATGTTATTTACTGTCAATTAAGGTAGTTCTTCTAAACCAAAGACCACCCTTTCACACTTCAACTAGTGTATGCATTCTGATAATGCATTATCTGGTGTCCATATTCGATGGTTGATGAAAAATATAATGATGTTATTAAAAGTATTCAACCTCTAGGTGTATAAGGTGTCCATACCAAAATATAAATTTTTATAGTAGAATTTCCATTTGTGACAAACTCTTTAACCACTTACTGAATAACAAAAAAATTAACCAAGTTAAAGTTTTTGTCTTTATCTCAATAAAAGAACAAGTAAAAAAAAATCTAATACCTTAGCTATTTGCGGCAATAATTGTAAAATATATTTCCCCTCAAGCAATTAAAATTTTTAATTGTTTCACTAAGAATATATCAGAATGTTTACAATATAACCTTTCTTTTTAATTGTATTGTAATTAAATAGTGACAACTTTATTTTTATTTCAAGTCAGTCAACTTCACAATTCAGTTAATATTTAGAAATTTTCCCTAAAACTAATGAATGGTTTTGTCCTTACTAGCTATGAAAACGGTTAAGAAAAAATTACATTCCATTTTTTTTCAATTAAATGCTTTAAAAAGAAAGGTCAGTGTTCATTTATATTTACAATGTATTTCTCATTTCCTGTAATAGGGCTAACATCATCATGATGGGGTAACCTCTATTTAAAGTGATACTATATAGACAGTGTGATGACATATAAAACCATAACATATCACCTCAGCTTTCTATCACGCTCTAACAATAAAAACATTTCTTGTTTATTTTTCATTAAAATATTTGTGGTGACAACTACATTTTCTGCTTCATTTCCTACCAGAAAATAACAAAAAATTTCAACTCTTTACAGTAACAGTTAACACCAGGTCAACAGAAGAAATTTATGAATTTATGAGAAATTACAGACTGAACAATCTTGTATTTAATATCTAAATATTTAACAAGTTCCACCTCATTTCATATGCATATATTATCTTACCTGTAGCTCATGAATATTAATGAGTTGTCCAGGTGCAGCCTCCACAGCAATTGACTGTTACTATTTATAGCTACAGAGCATCTCATGCTGGGCGAGTTTCAGTAGTAAACTGGAGTGTGAATGAATTGGACCAATTTACTACAGATCTCCCAGGAAAGGCAATCTGTTACTTATGCAAGAATGAGAGTATAGCTGAAAGTTGTAAAATATTAGCAGAGTTATAAAGCAGGCAGTTTAATCTTCTACAACTCATATCTGTCAGGCAAAGTAAAAAGTTGTAATTGGAAATATGAATAATTAAAAAAAACAAGAGATTATTGGGAAAAAATAGTGGAAATATTACTGTTATAACAAGCAAAGATAAGTTACTTCAGAACTTATAACTATTTATGTTCAGGGATATTTTATTGTCCAGTTCAGTTCATAAGGATATGGAAGATTTATGGAAAATATCAAGATTTATTTGATTTGACATAATCATTGTACAGTGAAGTTTTTATTGGAGATTATTTTTCATAAACAGTGTTAGCTGAATGACTAGAAGTGACTATAGTGAAAATAATGGGAGTTTAATATTCTCCAATTCTAGATGGACTTAATTTGCAATACAAAAAATATGGATGCTTACTTGTTTTTCTTCACAAAAACTTTGCTGTTTTTGGTTGCTGTGGTTACAGGTAAGTAGATGAGTTTTGTTGTCAAATCTGTAATTAAAAAAAACAAAAAACAAATAAAATGTTACTTGAAATCTAATCATTGATGTTACCTTGACAGAAATTATCATACAGTACTTGATTTATTGAATATTAACATGAATCAGAATAATAAAAATGTTGTACAGGTAAACTGTACCCCTGTCCTGTTACTGTAGTCCCATTGTTGGAAAATGCAGATGTTTTTTGTTTTTTTTTTACTGTTTAACATTTCTGTCAGAAAAATGTGTATTATTATCAATGTAGAAAAAAGCTTTAAATCAGCAGTATATGTCTAAAATTAATGTTTTGGACTGCTGAACGTTACAGGCGAATATTTTAAGTGGATTGGTCTACTATTGGTGCAATTTCAAATATATATACATTATATATATACAAACTGAATACAGGATGTGTCATTTGGATATTCTTATATATAAAAAAATTTTTTGAAAAAAACCCCCAAAAAAACAAACAAAAACAAACAAACAAAAACAAACAAAAATCCCTATGATACAATTCTAAGTGATTTGAAGTATGAACACTTAAATGATGTATAATAATAATAATAATAATCATTTTTTGTAGAACAATTATCTGCTATATATAGAAATGTCATAACAGATCATATGTCTTGCACATAATCAACAACATTCATATACAACAATACTGTGGTTTGTTATCACGTGTGGTACTTGTAACTATCAACATATAATTTTTATGCTATAAAAGACGTTATTACTTTTGATATATAATTTTTATGGTATTAAAGACGTTCCATTACGGACCTATTCACTTTAAAGGCACATAAGGGGCCGAAAACAGATTAACTATCAAATAGTCGAAAACTGAATACAGCTTTAATTATAATATAATTTATCACTAAACAAAAAGTTAAAACTTATGATTTTAAATTTATTGTATTAGGCAAGATTGCTTTAATGTAATTAAACATCACTGCAACATACTCTTTATCAAATATACAAGTCTCTGAATGTATTACAGTTTATTCATATATAATTTACAATTTGTTGAACAGTTAATATATAATATATTGTGCAATGATTGATCAGATAATTAAGAGTTTAAATCAGCATTTCTTTATATAGAGCTGAGAGTGTATCTCACCAAATTAACCAAGGGGAGTTTTCATAGATGCTGGAGGAGGTATCATCTTTCTATAATGTAGTGTGTAACAAAGCAATTAAATTATTGTATAGTATATTAAGTGCCTTGTTAATTGCCAATTATAGCAGAAAGTTTGGTCTACACCTAACTAAGAGGTGATGTATGTAATGTAACATTTTAAACTGGGATATCTAAACTGTTTATCTCCTGTCGACAGGCAAACCATTAATTGACTTGAAATATAAGTCTACCTAACAGGTGTTTCTTAATTGTACTACAGGAAGGTTGTGGTTTTCTGGTCTGTGGAGGGTAACATATAATGTCAGAAAGTTTAGCAAATAATTGAAAGATTAAAATCTGTGTGAAATAAGCTGTTGCAAATAATTCTATCAGTGGGCACAGCATTCCCCCCATCATTCTCTTTGAGTGCCTCAGTATATACAACAGAATAAATGCAGTATGAAAGTTCTCTTACTTTAGAGAAATAAACAAAATGACAAATAAAAACAGTAATTTTATGATTTGATATGATTTTGTAAGCTGGGATATATTTACAATATCTACATCATGTGACATGACTTATTACATTGAAGTCTAGACAATAACCCTGCCAATATAAGCAATAACGTAATTAAAGATCTATCAGGCAGACAATAACTTACTAACAAGTGCAATATGTGTAGTGTGTAATGTAGAAGAGAATAATAATATAATATTGTATCAAATTCTTCTTACTCCTACCAATATTTTTCATAACACCATGTACATGTAATTAACCCAAGCAAAAACAGACATACTGTTGGTATAGAGCACAATTATATTTGTAAGTACCGTTAGCACAATTTCATATTAGTAGGGTAGAAGATTTTATGAGGACCAAATTAGAAGTTCAGCTCATTGATTGAGCGGGTGCACATTATTCTGAGTCCCGGTTCAAGTCCTGGTCTGGCTGCACATTTTTCTCACTCTGTGACATCTACATTCCTTAAAAGTAAATGCACCATTTCAAACTGGATGCAGGCTGGAAATCTATTACACAAATTAAACAGGTAAAGAGTTATTTGTACCGGACAACTAAGTCCTAAGTCGACCTTTAGCTAAAAGAATGTTGGCAGTCTGAAATTTTCTTTGATTCAGTATACACAAAATATTTTCATTGTCATGAATATTTGCTCAAGTGTTGTGATTATTTATTATTTAGCTTGGAGCTGATGATTGCAATCTTTTACATACATGTTACAGAAAATGATAAGAAAACAGTTAACGATAAGCCCATTGCAAACAATCAAGAACGAACAAATGTAGTAACATGTGGGAGTTGTATTTATGCTCATTTGATTGAGCAACATATGTTCAGTGATACTGGGTTTATATCTTTAACATCTTTTATATACCATACTCAAGTTAATTTCTCTATAAAATTATTATCTTATATCTGTACTTCTACTCTACAACTTTTCCTCTAGAAGAGAAATTCATTGAGATCATGTCTTCTGAATAAAAAAAAATTGAATTTGATTAAGCCATGATTATGACCTTTGACCTGCAAATGTGACCTTGACCTTAGAATTATCATGTATATGTCATTTGAAAGTAATTGAGAAACATAAATATATATGAATGTAGGAAGTTTTGACATAAAACAATAGACTAAAACAGGCCATGTACAGAAAATTGTTGTCTATGTAGACTATGTCAAGGTCATTGCAAACTGAGCTTACAGAAATTATTAATTTTAAGGAGATTAGTTTATTGCATTACCAAATGCATGAATTGTATTATGGCACATTAGGAAAACAATATTATTTTAATCACAATATTTTACTACCCAGTGAGATTACATTATACAAATTAAATTAAATTATAGACTTTTTTCCAAACACCTTAAGGGAAATTACTATTTTAATTTAATAACTGAAAATGAAAAAGTTATATAAGTTACAAAAAGAAGAATATAATCAAGTTATTTATTAGTAAAGGAAAGGTTACATCTGGTCTGAGACAGTCTGTGGAGGGTAGAATATATTTCCAGGAGTTCAAATGTAAATTAGTGAGGAATCTTTCTACAAGTCTGGTCCATTACATTTTACAATAAGTTAATTACTAACTCCTGTGATACAGATACAGAGTAAATGGATTTGAAACGGTCCATAAGAAAGGCATTAGGTGACCTATATTATCTGAATGTAGTATTACAGTGGGAGGAATGTAATGCATTGAAGCAATTAGTCTTCTTCTGTAACTTGTGGAGCATTGTAACAAAGCCTGAATGCCTGCAGAAGTAGTAGAAAATCAAGAAGAAAGGAAGAATGATTAAATATTATAGCATATAATTAACTAAAATAGTATTTAATTAAAAGAATATCTGAACAAATGCATTAAGTGATTAAACCAGCTTCATCATAAACCATAGTGCAGGAAAGATGAATAATTGAGGAAATATTGATAGTAAGAACAAATTTTTTTACAAAAAATGGTATCAATTAATTATCCTAAAATCTGAGATTATATGTATACAAATTAAATTTAGCTCGAAAATTTTGTAAATGTTTTACCTGATAGGTTAATTAGAACCGAAACCAGTAGATTATTAAATTACTTAATCTGCACTATAGTGTTGACGTGTTGTATTTCTTCAATTCTATCTTAAATTAATTTTAATTTGATTGTGATGAAAGCTGTAAACTTATTGAAACACTCTGAGAACCGTTCCTCAGGGAACAACAAGTAATTAGCAATGTGAGTAAAGTTTCTTGCTCCAGGAAACAACGGCTTGTCCCTGACAGGGTTTTGAACACACACGGCCAGTATTCGTTAGATTACTGGTCTGATGCATTGCCACTCAGCAATGTCGCCACTTTATTTCTTATTTGTGTTTAATGATGGCGAATACCATTTTCTAAGATATAATATTATTGTCTGTCGTTACTCAATGGACAGCACTATTTAATAAAGTAAAACTACATGATCATGTACATTAGTACCCGCAGCTGCAAGCAAGAGCATTTTGTTAAAGTTTTCATCACTTTGCTTTTCCTGGAAACATTTAGTTGCTTTAACTGGCAATTATAATGTGTTATGTATGTATATACTGGTATGAAAGCTGAAATAGTTAATTGAATTCCAAGTTGTAATATACTGGTAATTGGTTTATGCCACATAATTACTGTAAATGTCACCAGCACTTGAATAGTATTTATCAATTTATATACAAGAAGAATTATTTCTCTGAGAAATAAACTTATAATATTGCTGGTGAAAATTATTATAACTTCTATTAGCTGCCTAATAATATTTGTCCCAAATATTGTGATTTACAAATACCTACAAAGTTACACATTAAAAAGAACTTCTGCCCAGTACAGGTAAATTACCTTTAAGTGACCTTGACATTTTATGTTATGTATGGTAATAATAACTTGACATTGCTCGTCAACACGTGGTGTCTTAATTTCAGTATTTCATATATCTCAGAATTACCCCCAAGTCTTCAGCAGTAAGCTTGAAATCAATTAAGGCAGAGAAAGGGACATAACTGTATCAAATCAAAATCAGAGTTATCTTCTCATACCAGATATTACAAGGATACCAGATATTACAAGGATGCCCCAAGAAAGACCCATAAAGTGTAACTTTTTGTCTTGAAAATAATTTGAGATTGACAATGAATAGAAGAATTTAAAGAGAAGATAGGGGTCAATAAACACAAGCTGCACTTAAGTTAAATTGACTGTGACCAACAGTTTCATATATCACTTCTGAAACTCAGTTTTAGATTTATCATGTGCTTTAAAATACAAGATCTGAAAAGAAAATAACTGAATATTTTAAATTCATTATGATCTATGGTCATTGCAAATAATTAAATTCAATTTTATTTCTGT